TTGGCCTGCTGTGTTCATCCAGCTCTACAACTTGTTATCTCGGATTCTCCAGCATCTGCAGTTCCTACTATCTCTTATTCATATATGCTGTCATGATTTATCCATCTCAGTCTACCTCACTCAGACTGTTGTTCAATGTTAAAAGGTAATGGCACCATAATCTTACAAGACCCATGGGACTGCTCTCTCCTTGGAAAGAGAGAGAGAGAGAGATGATTGGTGAATTAGAATTAGGTTTATTGTCATGTCTACTCAAGTTACAAAAGAACAGGAAGTACAATGAAAAGTGTACAATGTCACCAACACACACCACCATCTTCGGTACAAAATACCTAAGTACAAATCTTACATACAAAAATAGAGAAAATAAATAAAACATATTACAGTACATTACAGATATACATAGTATAAGTTAGGAAAATAAGAAATAAACTAAAAAAGTAGACCTTACAGTCTTTCTGTAAGGGCTTTCTATAACAGTGGTGGTTTAGCCTGAGCGTCAGGCAAGGGGAGAGGTTGAGAAGGAGAGTCCTTCATGGTAACCTATACTTCAAATTCTTCAGCATCAGAAACATTTCTGATACACAATAACAATAAAGCTCCAGTATAAGTCCAGAGTTCAGATACAAAGAGCAAAGACATCTTCCTTTAAGCAGTCTCCCACAAGCCCAGACAAAAGTAGACTGAAGTTTAATGAAAATGTCAGCCTCACACACTCTGGATTTGATTCTGAATACATTGGAGTTTAAAATGCATCCAAGGGAGTACAAGTCATAAGTCAGCATACTTAGTTTTATATATTTGGTCCTAACAAACCCTGTTTCCAATGTTTTGCATGTATTTAAATTTGGATTGCAGTGAGGATTTCTACACAAATGGGAGCCCCATTACATATTTTCTGCTGGACAGTTCTTAAGATCCAGCCAGACAACATGGGTGACACAGTTAGCCAACACTGTCTAAGCCCAAGACCCTTGATAAAACTTTTAACAGAAAGCAAATCAAATACAGTAAAGTTACTGAGAGATTCTTCAGTAATGATCCCCGTCCTAGCACTGAGTCCTGGAGCTGCAAGCATTGGGTTGGAGTAATATGTTCCAACAAAACGGGCTCTGGGTTTGACAAATTCACATGCAATATATATCTTGCTTTGGCTCATCACTCACTAACAACCTTTTAACTAATACTTAAAATGCTTTCTGCAACTGCATATCTGATAGAATACATGGAAACGTAAATCACACTAATGGGACTATGGATACTCAACTGTGCATATAATGGAGAATTCAACTTAGGTAAACAAACAAGAACTCAACTGTGTGCACAATACAGTGTTCAACTGTGTGTATTTGTGGAGTATTTGGCTGTATGTGTAATGGGGTACTGTTTGTGTGTGTAAGGTATACAATGGAGCATTCAACAGTGTGTGAAATGGAATACTCCATTGTGTGTATATGGAGTATTTGATGATATGCATATTCGAGTATTTGACTGTATGTATAACCTGACAGTGTGCCTATCAAAGTATTCAATTGTGTGTACAAGACTGTTTGTCTATGTCAATGAATATTCAAATGTGTGTGAAATGGGGTATTCAATTGTGTATGTGTGTGTAACAGAGAACTTGACTGGGTGTGTAATGGAATATTCAACTTTGTATGTGAAGAAATATTAAATTGTCTGTGTAATGGTCCATTCAGCTGTGTGTAATGGTATATTCCGCCGTGTGTAATGGTATATTCGGCTGTGTGTAATGGTATATTCGGCTGTGTGTAATGGTATATTCGGCCGTGTGTAATGGTATATTCGGCCATGTGTAAAGAAATGTTTGACAGTGCATGTAGCGGAGAACTCAAGTGTTTGTGTAAATCAGTCTATGCGATGGTTTATATTATAGAACACTGTTGTGCAAGAAGCCTGGGTGAGTTGCTGTAGAACTAAGGAGGTACATCGCACTCAATGAAATCTTGTTGGTGATCTTCCTTTAGAACTGCAAACAGTCTTCTACACTTTCTTAATCAATGTTGTTTTATTTCTGAGTTTGCCACCACCAACAACTTGCATTTATAGAGCACTTTGAACATCATAAGACTTCATAATTCTAACTTCATAGGGGAAGTTCACCTACTAAAGGACTTCAAGCCACTTTGTGTTTCTCGTGTAGCCTTCAAATGATGGTCATGAATGATTTTAGTAATTATTAAAACTTTACATTCAGCGAATGCGCATAAAGGACCCTCACCTAATAATATTATCGATATGTTCCTGGGAAATCATATCCAGGGGCATGTTATTAATTTGTACGATCTGATCTCCTGGGAACAGCTTCCCCTCTCCAGGACCACCTAAGAAGCAAAAGGAAATCAGCATATTTTTGGATGTAGCATCATCTGTCCCTTACAAGAAGAGGAGAAAAAGCTGCAAGTACATGGAAGGCTCATCAGCATGTGCAGAGGATTAAAAAAAAACTAATTATTCATACTTTCATTTTACAACTGGACATCTTGCTGCCTGAGGTTTGTCTCATCTCAATACCCACAAAATGCAAAGGGAATGATGACTTTCTCAGGTCATGGAGACAGGTGGACTTCCTTATACAGAAAGAGCGAACAGTAATAATGTCAACGGAACTAAGGAATCCTACATGTGTTGAATAAGCAAGATAACAAGGTGTAGAGCTGGATGAACACAGCAGGCCAAGCAGCATCAGAGGAGCAGCATCACAGCTTAGAACCAAAGGGCTAACATGACAGAAATCCCATGGAAACTGATATTGGATCAAGGACAAGAGCTCACCAAAAATAACCAAAGCAAATCTGTCTGTATGGAGTTTGCATGTTCTTCCCGTGTCTGCGTGGGTTTGCTCTGGTTTCCTCCCACAGTCCAAAAACGTGCAGGTTATGGGAAATTGGCCAGGCTTAAAATGCCCCATAGTGTGCAGGCTCGATAGGTTAACTATGGTAAATATGGGGTTAAAGGGATAGTGTGGGATGCTTTTTAGAGGGTTGGTGCATAATAATTCTACAAAAATAATGAAGAAGTTAAAGGCATTAAAGTGCAGGAGCAGAAGATTCCATCCCAGAGTTAAAGGAAGATGGTGCAGACACTGCATATGCCCGAACTGTAACCTTTCAAAGCTGAGGAAATAGTCCCATAGACTGAAAAGTTGCACATGTCACTCCACCAGTTGAGAAAGGGAGAAGAAACCTAGTGAATTATGGCCCAATTAGTCTCAGGTCTAGCATTGCAAATATCTAATCCATTATCAAGGATAGAGTGACTAAAGATGTAGCTCATTTTCAGCTGATCGGAGACAGCGAGCATGGAGTTATAAAGGGTATATCATGCCTGAAAAATCTCAACCATTTGTTTTAAAAACATTAGGAGGGAGCCTTTGGGTCCTAATGTCAACAGGTCCTACTCCTTGGGTAGAATCCAGCAGTGAGAAGATAAGCCACTTTTATGTTCTTATTGTGGGGTGGTGGTCTTGAGGAGTGGGGGTAGTGCCTCAGGACAAGTTAGCGGCAAGAACGGGGATGTGGCTTTGAGGCCATTCCCTTGCCCCCATTGTCCCTAGTTTGGGGAAATTTGAGGCCCCGTACCCTAACCCAGTTTGCAGGTTGTAATGGCTTCCCAGTTAGGAAACTGGGCACCTTTGTTGTCAACGGGGAAGGCAGATAATTGGGAAGCAGATGGGTTGAGGCCCTTAATTAGCCATTTAAGGGCCTTAATTAGTGGAGGTCAAGAAGGTCACCTATGCATCGTTTTAATTAACTACTGAGGTGGCAGGAAGGGGTGGAGGGGCCAAGCCAATTACGTCACCTACTGACAACCTTCAGGGAAGGGAAAATTCCACCCTAAATATTCTCATCATGGCAAAGCTGATAAAATATTGACAGAGGACTGTGTGGCAGGAAAAGTGGGATGAGGTCCGGGTTAATGTTGGATGTGTTGAGATGGACTGCATCAGTTAAAAGCCCTGCCTCTATTAGATCCTAATCCCTCTTGAAAACTCTTCTTGCCTTCCCTCAGTTGCAACCTCCCATTCCCAGGTATTTACCTGCAGCGACAGACCTCACACATACTGGTGAACCTTCTGAGATCACAAATCCATGGTCCAGAAATGGATCTTTGATAATCTTCACTGTCACCTTCAATGGGCTGCTCAGCTGGTTCGTGTTAGCAGTTGCTCCATTGGCTGGACCTCGATTCCTTCAATCAAAAACAAAGCAAGGTCTTGTTTGTCAATCACTTTCAGTATCTTTTAATTTTCCCTGTCCTTTAATCCACCACGCACCTTCTTCCCTCCCCATTTCCGCACCTAACCCCTAGGTTCCTGCAAAATCATTACTCATAGCCTCTCTCCTTCACTTTGGCTTCCTGAAGAGATGGGTCATTGCAAAAGCGGATTGGGTCATTGTAAAAGCAGATTGGGTCATTGTAAAAGCGGATTGGGTCATTGTAAAAGGGATTTCCTCTGCTCCTCCATATCCACTCCAACACCGACACACTCATTCCCTAGAACAAGAGGGACCTGCCACAACCAGGGTGGAAAAGTTCCAGCAAGCTGTTTCAAGAACATCAGGCAGAAGATTCTTGGAGAGTCAACAGAATCAAAGACAGCCCCTAAAAGTCACAGAACTGCTGCTCTGTCCAGAATGCAGCAAAAGACTGAGGATGTGGTCAAAATGCAGCTTAGTGAATAAAACCAGGAAATATTCAGTAGGTCTGGCAGCATCTGTGGAGAAATTTTCAGGTTAATGAATCACTGATGTACCCGCTGAGGTGAATGATCAGCCATGGTCTAGAATGGTGCAACACGCTTAAGGGGCTGAATGGTCTGTTCAGGTTCCAATATGCCCTCATCAGTCAGGGTGTGATTTTCCCCTCCCTGGAGATGGTGAGGATGGGGCAAATATTTGGGTGAGTCGACCCGGAGCTGTATTCACCCCTTTCTCACCACCTCAGTTCCAGGTGAGAAAATCCATGGTCGACATTCTCAGCCTGCCAATGACTAAAGCCTTTGATCAATCAACTAATGGGCACTTGAGGTCCTGAGCCAGTCATTGGCCCAAATACCACTTTCCCAGCCATTGGGAACAGCGTGTGCCCTCCTCACAGGGAAGCTCCATTTGCCTCATTCTGGGGCTAATTGGGACATGGGGTTATTGCTGACCTACACCCCCACGAGTACCCCCAAAATACCCACTTACCTGCCCACTGGTGAAGCTGGTCACGGTGTGCCACTTGCGCCTCCAGGCACAGTCCCTGAGCCTGCTAGCCTCAGATTGGCCAGCTACCTCTAGGTGGGAGGATGGGTAGGGGAGGGCAGTGGGGATCCGGTGGCCAGGCTCCTGATTGGATGAAGAAGAAGCCCTTAAGTACCAAACTGATGCTTAATCCAATGAGCTTTCATGCTGGTGTGGTAGGCAGGTGGGTTGGTAGATTAATGCCCCTGAAGTTGCCTGTGCCAACACTTAGTGCACACCACATTAAATCCTAGCCTTAGGGATGGACCAGGTTTTAAGCAAATGCAAAGGCAGAGAGTGGAATGAAAAACCATGGGGTGGTTTATGATGAGATTGAAGGCCGGAGAAGGTTGTTCTGAACCAGGCCAGACCCTCTCAAAATATTTTAAGGAGGTAGCCTAGACCCTAACTTTTTCTTATTTTGAAGGTAAATGTGAAGTGTGTGTTCCAGGTGTGATGCAACCACTCGCCTTTAAGCAAAACAAAATTTATTTAAACACTACAGTTGAAACAAGAGAAAAAGAAAGCAGAATTTAGAATAACTTAGCTACTTGAAAACTTAACCCACCCAACTTAACAACTATTAACTGTTCCAATATAAAACATCCCATAAACACACCCCCTTGGCAAAAAGGTAAATTCAAACACAGATTCTTACACGCAGGAGGGAACAACATCCAGGGAGATTTCAGAGAAAGTCAGTTAGGAATCCTTTACTGAAGCTTGCAACCGTTCTGGTACTCAAAACTTCTTATGACCGCGATAGCTAAAAAAGACTAGAAAATCCTGAACTGGGAAAACTGGCCACTCCCCCTCCGTTGTTAAACGGTTTTAGCTTTCTAGCTCCATAGACTCTTCGGCACCCACACCGTTACAACCTCTTTTCAAAAAAAACCCAGGACAAAATAACCTTTTTTTACAGTGACAGCATTGTCACTGCGTAAATAAACAAAGGGAGCAATGATGCTAGGCAAATAAAGTCAGAATGGAACAAATCAAGGAGCAAAACAGGAATCTGGAGGAGTGATACACAGCAACAACAGAATCACTGCTGCAAGAAATTATTCAGAGACCTGAAACATTGGGTTATACATAAAATGACCATGGGATTAGGATCCAGTGCAGGAAAACTTTGAAAATTACAGTCCCTGAAATCATCTTGGAATGCCATCTTCTGGGACAGTTTTCAATTTGAAGGGCTCAGTTTTAATTTTAAGATTTTTGAGTGAATTCTCCAACCCCAATGTCATGAGAGTAATGATGAATAAAGTGAAAATAAGGTGAAAATGTAAAAATATAGGTTCCCGCCATTGAGAAAAAATATTATTTTCTGCCCGAGGCTTAAAACAGTGACTTCAAAGTCATGCCCTTGAGTGGTGATTACCGTATTTCCATACATTTACAGCTCATTAAAGGGCCAACTTGGCTACTTACATCGCCTTTCCAAACCGCCTCCTCCACCAAGGAGCACAGACGGTGAAAATTCCCAACATCTCATCACAAACCACCCCATGGTTTTTCATTCCACTCTCTGCCCTTGCATTTGCTTAAAACCTGGTCCATCCCTAAGGCTAGAATTTAATTGGTGTGCACTGAGTGTTGGCACAGACAACTTCAGGGGCATTAATCTACCAACACACCTCCCCCCCCCCCCCCGTCTACTGCACCAGCATGAAAGCTCATTGGATTACCTGAAAACTGCAACTTGCTAAAGACCGATCCTACCATCAGCCACCTGCACAACATCGAGTTGGGACACCACAGTGGCACAGTGGTTAGCACTGCTGCCTCACAGCGCCAAGCTTTGATGCCAGCCTCTAGGGACTCTCTGCGTGGAGTTTACACATTCTCCTTGTGTATGCGTGAGTTTCTTCCTGGTGCTCCAGTTTCCTCCCACAGTCCAAAGATGTGCAGGTTAGGGTGAACTGGCCATGCTAAATTGCCCGTAGTGTGCAGGGATGTGCAGGCTAGGTGGATTAGCTGTGGGAAATGCAGGGTTACAGGGACACAGTAGGGGTGTTGGTCTGGGTGGGATGCTCTACAGAGGACCAGTTTGGACTTGATGGGCTGAATGGCTTGTGCCTACACTGTAGGGATTTTATGAATATCACACATCGACATAGGATGTTTATGTGCTGACATTGGGGAAATGGTACTCACTGACTTTAGCACCAGGTTACAGACTGTAGGACTCTTAGCACACAATGTCTTCAGAACTCAATTATAGGCTGCCAGGGTCTGTGATTTAACTTTCTTTTTTAGTGCAGAAAGGGAGGCGGGCAGCTTGTGACAGTGGGGTAAATATTTCAGTCAAACGTAGGGATTAACAGCCCAGTGCGATGCCAACATCAGAGCTGCCAGCAACTCCCACACCAAATACAATCCATGTGCTTCAAGTAAATGGTGATGTGTAAAAGTCAGGGGGTCCACCACAGTCAGTCAATCACACCTTAGGGGGTTCGTCAGTTCAACTGCATGCAATCTAGGGATTGCAGGATGGTCAGTTGTATTGATGGTTGGCGTTGTGCGCCAGTCTTTCTTGCAATGAGACAAAGAGAAGGGCTGAGTGTAATACAGAGGGACGCAAGAGCGGAGGGTGGTGATGATGAGCAGGAGAGTGTTATGGACCAGACCAGATCCCCTCATAATATTTTAAGAAGGCAACCTAGACTTTAGGTTTTTCTTATTTTAAAGGAAAATGTAACGTGCTGTGTTTCAGATGCATTTCAACTGGTCAAAGTACTCGACATTCAGCTAAACACAATTTATTCAAACACTATAGCTAAAATACAACAAAAGAAAGAAGAACTTCGAATAACTTAACTCTATTGGAAAACTTAACAGAATAATAGATACAGTAACTATTACTAATTAACTGTTCCTATATAGTAACATCCCATAAACACACTCCTTGACAAAAAGGCAAATGCAGAAATTTTGTCTCACATGCAATCCAGCAGCCTACAAAGAGAACCCCCAGCTTTTTTTGCTGTAATTGAAAGAGGAACAAATAGTTTCCACTTCTTCAAGCTCACAACAGCAACTGATGCTGAATCTCAAAACTAAAAAACTAAAAACTAGGGATCCTGGTCTGTGAAAGCTGGCCACACCCAGCCAGGCTGCTTCTATTGTTCCAACTTTTAAAAAAATTCCAAGGCCTCCCAAGCTGTTTACTTTCTGGGCATTCATAGCCAGCTCAGTACCTCTGCCTTAAAACCACTCTTAAAAGTAACCAGGACAAAATACACCTCTTAAAGCCACAGCATCGTCAGAAGAGGTTGTGAGCCATCACCAAACGGTGCGTCAGAAATTCAGAGGGCAGAAAGGATTAGTAGTTTGGCAGAATGAGGTGGTGCAGTGAACCTTTGGGTGGACATGATGCATGCAAGTAGTTCATGAGCCTTGGGAATGGTATGTGCAGTGTCTGAGTTAGACTGAGTACTGGCCCCAAGTAAGAGGTAACAGAGAGAAAATGGTGGCACTTGCACAGAAGATCACTGACCCTCTTCTCACTCCAGACACAGCACTAACCCATGCTGCTCTTTGTGTCTGAGCTGGTTGTCTTTGTTGGCATGGTTCCCTTTGGAGGGGGGGAGGTGAGCAAGGATTAGGACCGCCCTCTTCTCCACCAGCCAATCCAACAGCACCTCTAGATTTCCGTCCTGGAAGAAACTTGCCTTTCCTCTGAGGTATTTTCCAGGTGGATCCCCCGCAGTGTGGGAGGTCAGTGCTGATTTGCAGAGTCTCAGGTGGTGGCAGCTGGGCTTTGAAAATGGCACTTACAATGGGTTGGCAAGGAAACCAGGAGAAGATCTCGCCTGGGGCACTGGGCACACGATTCCTTGAGAAATGCAGCCAACATCTCAAAAGCATAGTGGAAGGAAGGGAAGAAAATGGGAAGACAGTGTGAGAAAATTGACTGCGGGCCAATGCGAAACTCACTGGCCATCAGAATTTAAGGAG